GAATCAGTCATTTTAGAGAGGGGTTTGAGCCAGGACAGCTGAGTTGAAACAGAATTCATTTGAGCCCTAATTCAGAAAGAACTAGAAAGGATTATCTTATTCAGCAGTAAATCTCAGAAGTGAAAACATTTATGGCCTAGATTAGATTGTGTGGAGGCTAGAAGCTTCCAGGTCTAGGCCTAGGTTAGCAGACAGAGTCAGTAAGCCTCCAAGACAACAATTATCAAACGAATAAAAGTTACTTTTACAACTGTAGCCCTGGCTATTCTGGAACTTACTCTGTAGACAAGGATGGCCTTGAACTCACAATGTTCTACCTGCCTCTGCCCTCTGAGAGCTGGGATTAAAGGTGTGTGCCACAGACTCTTGGCTTTTGGATATTTTTTTAAAGTAGCAGTTCAAGTTTTTGTTTTGTTTTATTTGTTTTGGTTTTGTTTTGTTTTGTTTTGTTTTGTTTTGAGACAGGGTTTCTCTGTGTAGCCTTGGCTGTCCTATACTCACTTTGTAGACCAGGCTGTCCTCGAACTCACAGCGATATGCCTGCCTCTGCCTCCCTGAGTGCTGGGACTACAGGTGTGGGCCACACCTGTTGCCTGGCTAGTATTTTTGAGGGGACAGTTTGAGTTGATTTAGTACCTGGCTAGGATGATCACATATTTCTATGCATACACATATGCGCATGATGGACTAGCTATGATCCAGAATATATGGATAATATATAAAACATGTAAACAGGAAACGGATGGTTATTTTGTTGTTGCTGTTCAAAAGGAAGACTTACACTTCTTAGATGCAATTATTTCTTCACAAGGGAGGTTACCTAAATGGAAACAGTATGAGACTTTGGAGAGCCAGGAGAATACAGCTGAATACTCTGAAGTTAGCTACTGATGAAGCAAAATTCCCTTGGTGGCTGAGTGGGCATTGACTCAGCATAAACAGAATATCCTTCGGCAACAGCAGCTGGGCAGAAGTGGCATGAGGGCGTGCAGCAGAGGGGACCAGAGTCTGTTTCTGGAACTAAGTGATATTAATTTCACTTTGTATTCCGGGATGAGAATATGATTTAACTGGAAAATCAGAATATTAGATTTCCTCAGTAATTGGCTCAGGAGTGGACACACCATCTTGCACTGATTAGAATCACGCCCAGTACTCCTGTTCAAGCATACAAGAAGGAGAAGGAAGAGGAAGAGGAGGAGGAGGAGGAAGAAGAGGAAAAAGAAAAGAAAAGCTTTCCTATTTGCTGGAAACGAAACAAATTAAAATCATAAGGTTGATTATACTTTGCCTTGGAAAAGATCTTTATGATGGAAGGCAACAGAAAGGCACTGAAAGATGGAAGGAGAACAAGTTGTATTAATTCAAACCCAGCCATGATTCATGTTCATACCGCAGCCAACCTGCTGAACATCTACCCTCTCTTACCCAAAATCCATCTTTCTATTGTTACAACAGAAAAAAAAAATTAGAATACAGAATATCTTTCCAATAGAATGGGGCCTTGGACAGTGACTCTCTTTCTCTCTTTGCAGATGTACAGTTTTGGGACCAGAACTCCTTTGGGAATGATGAAAGAGCCAGGGTCTGCTTGGTTGCAAGGTCTAATCTTGTTCACCTGCAGACTTTGCTTCACTGCAGCCGGAGATCCTCATCATCTGATTGACACTTGGGCTTTGGTTTTCATATCCTTGTTGCCAGCTTGGCTATAATTTTTGTTGTTTGTTTTGAGATGGGGACTGATGTAGCCCAGACTGTCCTTGCACTTAACACTTAGCCAAGGACAACCTTAAACGCCTAATCCTCCTGCTTCTACCTCCCAAGCGCATGACCCATAACACCAGGCTTATGAAAGAATCTTTTCTTTTAATGCAGAATTCTGTGTTGACAGATGTTTTTTTTTTCTCTCTCAAGAACCATAAAAGTAAATTTTGTTTTCTTTTCAATATTTACGCATTTATTAATTTTTAACTTTTTACGTGTATGTGAGTTTGTGCTAGGGTGCTCATAAATGTATCTCCATGTGTGCAGGAGCCTGAAGAGGCTGGAAGAGGGTATCTGATCACCTGGGACTGAAGTTCAGGGGGTTAGGTGCTGGGAACCAAACAGCATCTCTACAAAAGCAGCAAGGGCTCTAAAGTGCTGACCCATCTCTCTAACCTGTTCTAGATGGTTCATTAGCTTCTCATGAGCATAGTTTCAGATGAGAAATCTGTGTATATTTCAATGCACATACAATGCATTGGAATTGTATGTTCTTTGGCTGCTTTCAAGAGCTTATTTTTCCCGTTTTGTATCCAAGTGTAGCTTCCTTTACATACATCTTCAAACATCTTGAATTTATCTATATATTGCAACCGATTAAATTTTGAAAATTTTTGCTGTCATATCTTAAATATTTTCGTCCTAATCTCTCTTTAATTACGTGTATCCTACTCTGTTATTATCCTACCAATTTAGTGATGTTTCAAAGTCTTAGAAAACCAACTTGTCTACCAGATCAGATAATTTCTACTGACTTCTTCTGTTTGTTTATCTTTTCATTTTATTTTGATTGCTATTTAAATTTGTGAGTTCTTTTAAATCATGCTATTTTGCTAACAACTCCCAAGTTTATTTTCTTTCTTTCTTTCTTTCTTTCTTTCTTTCTTTCTTTCTTTCTTTCTTTCTTTCTTTCTTTCTTTCTTTCTTTCTTGTAGTTGTCTAGCAGTTTCTTTTTGAACTAAGCACGACAGTTCACACCTGTAGTCCCAGCACTTGGCAGTTATGGCAGAAGTACTATGTGTGTGAGATGCTAGCCTGGGCTACAGAGGAAGTCTCAAAATACCCTGGTTACAGAAGTGAGACCTGTCTCAAAGAGCACAAAAGCATTCTTTTGATTTTCTTTTCTGATTTCTATATTTTACTAAGATTCTTTTATGTTTTTATCAATAGAAACATATTTCTTTTTATTTCAATGAGCAGACTTTGAAAATTTATGTCTGCCGGGTGTGTGACTCAATGATAGAGCCTTTCTTTACTAGATGCAAAGCTCTGGGTTTGATCCTATTCATGATAGATAGATAGATTATAGATTCATGCCTACTAATGGCTTCATTTGGATTATTTGGGGGTTGATCTTGTTTACCGCAGCTACGAAAGATTCTATTTCTCCAAAGATTTTTTTTTTTTTAAGGTGAGAAATTAATATGTCAAGGTAGACTTTCTATGGCCACAGCTCAGATGTCCATTCTTTCTTTTGGTCCCTAGCCCAGATACTCTAGTTGGCTTTTGTTTGTTTGTTTTGTTTTTCAAGACAGGGTTTCTCTGTATAGCCATGGCTGTCACTCTGTAGACCAGGCTGGCCTCGAACCCACAAAGATCCTCCTGCCTCTGACTCCTGAGTGCTGGGATTACAGGAGTGCACCACCACCACCACCTGGCTTGGCTTTCTTCCTGTACAGCACAGTGACTTGGGTAGGTATATAAACACAGTTGAGGCATCTCCCTTCCTGGGTCCCCCTTTGACCCCTTTGGCATTTTCCAGCATCTCTATCTGTTCTAGATGTCACTACCTATTTGTTCAGGTAGAAAAACGGTGTTTCATTCGTTTCAGTCAAATGGTATGGGGCAGGTAGCATGATGCCTTCAGACTAAAACCTGGAGCTGTGAGAAGCTCACCTTCTTCTGATCTTTAAGCTCTCTAGAATATTTTACGTCTACTTTGTGGGGACTTCAGATCTTAGCTCTTACTTGCTTGCATTTTTTTTTTTATTGTTGTGTTTTAGAGCTTGTAAGAAATATGACTTCTTAGGCCTAGTAAGCTCTTCCTTAGTCATCAGAGGCTTTTTCCAGAAGATATCTTAGTGAAGTTGAGCCCGTTTTCTCACATTGGAACCTACTTATCCCACTGGCTTTTCTTATTCTGTCTCACAGCCCCACCCAGGCTTCCTTAAGATCTATTTTATTTATGTATAAAGTATGTATCTGTGAGTTGGTATGAGTACCTGTGATTGTAGGTACCTGCTGGCCAGAAAAGGGCCTCAGATGCTCTGTAGCAGGAGCTACAGGCAGTTGTGAACTGCCTGGCATGGGTGCTGAAAACTGAATTCAGGTCCTCGGGAAGAGCAGTGGGTACTCTCTAGAGTTGAGCCATCTCGCCAGCCAGCCCTCAAGCATGTTTTCTAAATTACTTCTACGTGAGACTTTATCTCAGGGTTCACTTCAGGGTTCTTCCTCTTCCTCTCCTTCCTCCTCTAGTACTGAAGAACAAGTCTAGGACCTTGCACATGCTAAGTACATGCACTGAGCCACATTCTTGGCCCTTCCATGTTTTTCTTCCAGCAGAGGCTGCAGGAACTAGGGAACTCTTGGAATCTTGGGATGTGTCTAACACTCTTTAGAAGTGATACCTTGTGAATATTCCATGAGCAAAGTAATGTATCAAAACCTAAGTCAATGGGGATTTGTAAATATATTTGCCAAAGGGAAGGAATGATTAATTGCAAACAGTGAAACAATCTACAACAGCTTGTCCTCATAATTTTTGTTCCTTTGATACAATGGTCATTATCTCTAACAACTGGAAGAAATGTATCATAAAAAGACACAGCCAATTGCACCATATTTTTGTCTTTTGGCATTTAAGGGTTGAACCAGGGGCATGGAAAGATTAGGCAAGCGCTCTGCTACTGATTCCACCCTCAGCCCTGAGGCTTGAATGTCAGAAGCAGAAAGGTATGTATTACATGTGTAAAGAAGAGTGCAGACAAGAGTTGCTGACGGAGTTCAGAGGTTATGAACAATAAGTCTGGGAGCGCATTTACAAATGAGAGACCGTGTGCACTGTGCACCTATCACTTTTGTTTGCTGTGAGTAAACACCACGACCAAACACAACTTATGGGAGAAACAGTTTATTTTGGCTTCTCCGGAGGGAGAGTCCATTAAGGTAGGGGAGGCATGGCCAAAGCAGCAGGCGGAAAGATCACATTTTTAACCTCAGACACAAAGCAGAGTGAGTGACCTGGAAGTACAGCAAGACTGTGAGCTCTCAAATCTCACTCCCAGCAATGTCCTTCCTCCAGAAAACAGCACCGCTAATAAGGGATCAAGTCTTCAAACACCTGAGCCAATGGAAGACATTTCTTACCCAGACCATCCAGATCTGTTTTATGTTGAGAGACAATGAAGATTTAGATAAATGGTAAGAGTGCCAACAGGCACAAAAGTTACAGATTGGGCTAGTCTGGCACTGTTACTGGGGTACTTTGAGAGGAGGAACACTGGGGACTGGTTGGAGGGCCAAGCAGTCTACAAAGACTTTAAGAAAAATTGAAGTTAGCCAGGTGTGGTGGCGTATGCCTGCAATCCCAGGACTCAGGGAGACCTTCAAGTAGGCAGATCTCGGCTGGGGTCTTGGAATTCGGCTTCCAGATGGAGAATGGGAGTTCCATTTCTCTCAGGGCAGCTAGAGCTAGCTTTAGTGTGAGGCCCGTGTCTGCTAAGCTGGGGTGTGGAAAAGGTTTTCCACAGAGTGTTACAGTTTAGCTCTTTTAGCATGAAGTCACCTGTGGCAGTGGACGCTTGGGCATTCCAAAGCCTATGTTGATACCAAAGTGTTACAGCACTTGGTTAAGCTGAGCACTGCAGAGGTGCGGGCCAAGGCCCATGCCTGGTCGGCTTGTGGCCAAAACTCAGGCCTGGTGAGGCCTGGGCCCAATGAAGCCCAGGCCCAATGAAGCCCAGGTCCAGCAGGCTGGAGGACAGGCCCCAATGAGAGGTCCTGCTGATAAATGAGGAACCTCAGATGGTCTTGAAGTGAGAAATCGAGTACCTTTATTCCTGTGAAATCAAGGGCAATATAAACCCTGGGCAGAGGGCGGGATTTTGAGGGTGAATGTGTTTGATTTGCTGGGGTCAAGGGGTCAGGGATCCTATCACAAAAAGAAAAACACAGTACCTAATTATCCTGTGGTACAACTGAAGGTCACTGCTGGACTAAGATCCTTAGCATGGTGGGGTGTCTCTAGGTTTCCTAGATGCTTGCTTAGAGCAGTTTCCTTATCAGGGAAGAGTCTGGCCTGTATTCTGCCCTGAGGGCTATGTGACCTCCTTTGACCTGGAGTCACCCAGATCAGGGGAGACCTTTAAAACCCTTCTGAGTCTGTCATCATAGATCAAGTGCAAATAATTGGCAATCCAGAGACAATCGACTTCAACCTTCTCCAGCAGAGTCCTACAATCTACAGAGTGAGTCTAGGACTGCCAAGGTTACACAGAGAAACCCTGTCTCAAAAAAAGAAAAAAAAAAAAAAAAGAAGAAAAGAAAATTTGAAATTGGGCATGGTGGTACACACTTGTATACCTAGTACTTAAGAAGTTCTTAGGTTTGAGGCCAATCTGGGCTACATCAAAACACCTTGCCAAAAAATTAAAAAAGAAGAAAAGAAAAGGAGAGAAAGGAAAGGAAAGGAAAGGAAAGAAAGAAAGAAAGAAAGAAAGAAAGAAAGAAAGAAAGAAAGAAAGAGAGAGAATAATAAACACCAAGCAAGCAGCAAAAAATTCTGAGCGTAACTTGGAATTGCAAATCTGTGTTTACAAAGGTTGTCCTGGCAGTGCTGGAGGAGGAGAATCAGGCAGCAGGGGGGAGCACACACAGGAGCCATTCTTCTCTCTTCGAGGCTGTCCACTGGTGCTCTTAGACAAGGATATGACAAAAATGTGGCAAGCATGACAAATATTTCCTCAGTGCGTACCCTACTCCCACTTCTAGGAAAACAAAAATTGTCTTTCTAGTTTTTTTTTTTTTTTTCTTTTCTGAATCTCCTGCCTGTCCCTATAAAGAACATACACTGGTGGAAGACAATACTTCCCACACAAATGTATAATTAGAGCGGCATCATGAGACGGTTAAGCATATAATGAAACACTGCACATCAGAGGGAGATGTTTGTGCCCCAACATTTTTTTTTTAATTTTGCTTTTGAGCTAACCGAAGAAAGACATTTGAAAACTTTTTTTTTTTTTTCCTGCCTCAGACCTGAAAATAGAGAAACAGCTTCTACAATTTTTCATTTTGAAGTCTTTAGCAAACTACAATGCCCGGAAGCTTCTGGAAGGCAGTGACAGTGGCTGTGGTAAGAGCTTCCACTCGTTGTTAATATTACATTATTCCTCCAGTTTGTTGTTGCTGTTGGCTCATTTGTGACCCCTGGTAACTACATACTGTGTGAATGCAGCTTGATTTGGGGTTTGAAAATTGATAGCAGAGATTTGAATGAGATTATTTGATTTTGCAATTAGGTTTAGGACTTGGTTAAAGGAAATAGAAGAGCTGTGACACGTTCATTTGTCATTCCCCAAGCCATTCACCTCAGAGTTGAGATTTCTTTTCAGATCTTCCGGGTCATGATTATGACATTAAGATTGCATTGCTTCGTACTGAACATGTGGCTAGAATTAGAGCTAACTAGGCAGAAACAGTTTAAAAATACAGCCTCGAACATCTGGAATCCTACTTAGGTACTCAGCTGTTCTTCAGCGCTAGGCACTGGGTTAAATGCTCTGCTCAGTCGCTGCAGCAGCCGCATAAAGCAATTGCTGTCATTCTCCTCATCGCACCGTGAGGGAGCAGCCCATGCAAGGAGAAGGAAGGTGATGAGAGCCTTCCAGCTGGTACCAGATAAAGGTAGCGAGCGTTCCACCCAGGCGCGCTTGAATTTAAGGCCCAATCCCAGAGCCAGGCATGGTGGTATGCACTTGTAATCCCGGTGCCTGTGTTCCAGAGGTAGGAGAGTAAGAAGTCAAAGTTGGCCTCAGCGCCGTCATGAATCTGAGGTTAACCCCCGGCTTTGTGAGAACCTGCCTCATTACCCATTGTAAGCAGCAACTTCATTTTAACATTTGAAAGCCACCTGAACACCACCGCAAATCAGCCTCTTTCTTCTTTCATACATGTCCTCTTTTAGTTTTGGTCCATATGTATTGATAGATTGTTTGGTTTTTAGCTCTCTACCCTCCATGGCCTGGAACTTGCTTTATAGACTAGGCTGGCCTTGAACTTGTGACGATCCTTTGAGTGACTCTGCCCCCTGGGTATCGAGATTGCCGTTGTGGTTGTGAGCCAGTACGCTCAGCTTTGTGTTCTTTACTTAAACATTTTTATAACTACCTGCTATTCCACAAAGCAGACCCAGGATAACTATTCCTGTAATATTTGAAATTTTCTATCCTATCATTTTTTAAGGTTTTGTATGATTTCTTTAGGATTCATTTCTAGGCCACACTGCATCGAGAGCAGAAAAATGAAAACAAAACAAAACAAAACAAAAAAAACCCCAACAAACCACATAATATTGTAGTTAACATTTTAAGTACAACCTTAATTCTGGCAGGAAATCCTCGTTTAAGTATTATAATGTTGGAATGCTGTTGCGTCAGGGTTTCGACACTGTTCTTGGGCCGGATGATGCACTCGATTGACAGCAAAGTGGCTCTACACGTGGTTATGGTTTACAGCAGTGAAAGGATGAAAATAAAACCTGCAATAGGAGAAGGCATGGAGCTAAAATCCAGATGAAGCCTGGCGCAAACTTGACGGTGCCGCCATCTGTGAGGTTGGCGACACGCAGGCTTTCCCCAGAAAAGAGCGGGGCATGTGTCCTTCACTGCAGAGCAAAGGTGCACTCTCAGGCCTCAGAGTTTCATCAGGATCCTCAGCCTTCCAAAAGCCAAACGACAGACTGATCCAGAAGCTTGGGGCATACAACAGGCTCATGAGACACAGTATTCCCAGGATGTGGTCATGTAGTCAGGAGCCAGCCCTCTTTTTTTTTTTTTTTTTTTTTTACTAATGTAGACTATTCTGAGAGGCCAGATCTAAGAATTGTGATTTCAGCCAGGTGTGAAGGCTCACACCCGTAATGCTGGCAGAGAGGAGGCTGAGGCTATAGCGTGGCCTAGAATACAGAGTGAGTGAGACCATGGCACATAAACCAGACCAAACAAAACATCACGATGTCACAGTGCTTGACAAAGCTTTTAATATTAACCTCTTTTACTTTCACCTACAAAAAAAAAAGAAAAAAAGAAAAAGAAAAATTGGACACAGGGTTCTTACTTGTATCCCTGGCTGTCCTGGAACTCACTGTGTAGACCAGGCTGGCCTTGACCTCAAGTGCTAGAATCAAAGGTATGTGCTACCAATACCCGGTCTCAGTTTTCCTTTTTCACAGTGTATGTGACTGTGGCTTTGAGCAAAGTCTTACAGGATCACATGTTGATGGGTAAGCTTCGCAGTGATTAAGCATGAAGTTCTCAGTGAAAATATATTGGAGATGAATTATGTGTTTACTGGGTTTTGTTTGTTTGTTTGTTTGTTTTGCTTTTGAGACAGGGTTTCTCCATAGCCTTGGCTTTTGCCCTGGACTCACTTGGTAGACCAGGCTGGCCTTGAACTCACAGAGATCCACCTGCCTCTGCCTCCCTGAGGGCTGGGATTAGTTGTTCCACACCCTGCCTGATGTGTTTACTGTTAAAGACTATTTAAATTACTATTAAGTCAATATTAAAGTTGAATGTATTTGTTCTTAGTTTCTGTAATGCATATTCCCAAGAAAGACAGCTTTAACCCACGGTAAGAGCTTATTTGTTAAGTATGGGTGGGACCCAGAAATTTGCCTTTTAAACAAAGTAGCCAGGTGATTTCTGACACTGGTGACTAGGGACATGTTTGAGAATCACCACTGCACACGGATAACTGATAACCCTGTTTCCTTCCAGGTCGCATCACATTAATGTTCAGAAAAGAAAGCCAGTGGCCTTAGCTTCCTGTCTGATGTCACTGTCTGTGGCTCACCATTTCTCTCACCCCCATATGGTAGCCCCACGTGCCCTTTATCTTATCACTCCCTACAGCAGTGGTTCTCAACCTTCCTGATGCCGTGACCCTTTAATACAGCTCCTCATGGTGTGGTGGCCCCAACCGTGAAATTATTTTCATTGCTATTTCCTAACTGTAAGTTTGCTACTGTTGTGAGTTATAATGCACACGTCCGTGTTTTCTGATGGTCTAAGGCGAGCGAAAGGGTCATTTGACCCCCCCAAAGGGGGTGCAACCAACAATTGAAAGCTGCTTCCCTAGAGCCTTACCCAAACTGACCCTTTAGACCTCTTTTAGTATTTTTGTGTATTTTGGCAGTTTTGGAATTCAAAAGCGTGCTAAGTTGCACTGTGAATTCAAGCCCAGCCGGAGTTATATGAGACTGTATTAAAAATTTAATAAATGAATGAAACAAATGGGGAGGTGGTTAGGGAGAAATATTCTTTTCTGGAAGTGAGGAATTTCCCAGAAATTGGGGCATTACCTCTATTCATTCCCTGTTACAGTTCTCGTTTTGTTGTAAGCATGGCAATGTCAATGGTCATGGCACCTGGACAGAGGTTGGTACTCTGGCAGCCATCTTAGGTCCAGCAGGTTTCAGCTAGGATACCTGAAGTGGGATTTCTGGCTATAGATATGCTGCCATCAGAGGTCAAGAAGACCAGGGCAGGGGAGGAATTCAGCTGGGTCACCTCTGAGGATAGCACTTCCCTTTACGGTTTGTTCCCACTGTAATCTGGTCACCTAATGTTCTTGCTGTCTATCCTTCCCTTTCTCTCTTTGCAGGGGATCTGCCCCACCCTCATTCCACGTGGTCTGGAGTGGGCCAGTGGGGACAGCAGCAAGGCTGATAGCTAAGTGCTAGACTTACGAGCCGGGCTCTGGGGCCTCTCGTGAGCATGACCTAGTCAAATATGGTATCCTCTAGGTTGGGAAGGGTTTAGATGATGTAACTTGCTTAATGGGTAATATTTCATGGGGTTTCCGGCTGAAGACCAAAGAGGAAGTAAGTCTTTTTTTTCTGAGGCTGCTGAATGGAAAAATACAGCTCTGGAATTTTCCATGGTCGTTTCCATCTTCTGTAATATGGAGGAAATATTTTTGTTAAAAAAAAAAAAAAGCAAAACAAAACACAGAGGTCTACATACAGTGAGAAATAGGGGCACAATCTGAGGAGAAATCATAATAAAACTACTTTGAGTTCTGTCTCATTTTTGTCAGGGAGACCTACCTCATTTTCCACCCTGGTTCTTCTCAGGTATGTGAGTCAATAAATCTTTGACTTCTACCTTTTTGCTCAGTGGATTTGTTGTTTAAAGTGGTGAAAATGGAGGCCGGTGAGATGACTCAGTGGGAAAAGGTGCCATAAAGCCTGAAGACCTGAGATCAATCCCCACTACCCACATGGTGGAAGGAAGAACCAAGTCTTTAAGGTTGTCCTTTGACCTCTGCACACACAATATGATGTGTTTGTGCTGCCTCCCCATATAAATAAATGTAATACAGTTTTTTTAAGTAACGTAATGACGTAAATGTTACTTTATGATGTTGCAGTCAGATGGGCAATATTTGTCTCAGTGGTCTAAAACCAGGCATCACCAGGGCCTGTGTCTCCCCGGAGGCTTCGAGAAGACGCACTTCCTTGTCCATTTAGGTAGCTGGCAGAATTCAGTTCCTTGTGGTAGGGAATGAAGCCTTTCCCTACTGGCTTCATCGGGTGTCATTCTCAGCCTTGACAGCATGTTCCTTCCACTTTCACAGTGAGCAACCGTCCTGCCTGCATTGCTCAATCCATTTTCAACCGTGTTTAGAAGGCTGCAGTGGTGGAGGCATTTGCCTAGCGCGTGCAAGGCCCTGATCTCTACCCCTAAATGCCGAGAAACACCGTTTCTATTTGAAACTTGTAAAGACTGAGTTCTGTCTATATTTTCTTACTCAGTGTGTCATTAGCCTGTCTCAAGTGACAAGTAATTAGAGAGCTTAATGAAAAATAGTAGTGGATTCTGTTGACTAGCCACTTAACCTCTCAGAATTATTATTATTATTTTTTAATCTAGAAAATGAGAGTGCTGTGTTAGAGGATTTCAATGCCCTTATGTTGTATTTATTTATTTATTTTTCCTGGTTTTGTTGAGGCGGTGCAGCCCTCGATGGCCTCAAACTTTCGGCAATCCTACTTCCTCTTGCTCCTCAGTGCTGCTTTCCTGCTTGGCTCTCTGCTTTTAACATTTTAAAACGCAGTTCCCAACATGAAAT